TTGACCTATAGACATAACATTTTTTTAAGAATTGTGTCGTTGATAAATTATGCAGACAATAAATATATGTGCCACTATTTATGTTTATGCTAATATACAATCTTATTTTCATTTTTCTTTATTCATTGTGTTCTCTCGGTCACGAAATTATACAAATAAATACAATTTGGCGAAGAAAGTATATTTATTTATATTTAAATTTGAATAATATTAGTCTTTGTCGAAATAAAGTATGAAAATTTTACTTAAATTATATACATCTTGTGAACTGTAATGCTATTGAATTAAAATCATGTTCATATTTAAAATTGAGTTAGAGAAATTTATATTTTTTAAAATAATAAAAAAATTTCATATATATATATATAAACAATAAACTTATATATTTATAGACAAATTTTAGTATTGTCATTACATGAAAAAAAATTACTTATAATGTTCGGGGCTGATTTTGATGAAGTGTGATGTGATTTATGTATGATTTCAATTAGGTATATAAATTAAAAACGTGTAATTACAATGATTTCTATAAACATATTTTAATATCTATAGAGTATGCACACTCATTATCGTACAATAAAAATATTAATATTAATACAAATTCTATAATTAGTATAGAAAGTTTTCAATTTAAATTAAAATATTGATAGGTAATAAAGATATAAGTACCACCAATAACATACAAAAATAAAAATAGAATATTAAACAATAAATGGGTTCATTAAAATTAAAATTAAAAAACTGAATTGTGTCACTGTATTTTGTATGGTATTTTAATTAATTAATTATTTAGCTTAAATAGTATATATATATATATATATATATAAAAAAAATATTTAGTTAGTACGAACATACATTATAATATATACTTGGTATTATATTAGTTTAAAACACTAATAATAATTGATTAGGTGGCTTGGTGTGGCACGTTGGCTGCTGCCAGTCGCGGAATGCGACTAGGAAAAAGTAACGGCCACAGCTACTAGTTCCCGGATGGGTGACCACCCGGACTCGTAGTGTTTAAAAATCTTGCCACACATACACGTATTTGCTATCAACTGTAATAACCATAACAATCGTAAAAACAACATGCCTGTACCAAACTTACCTCTACCCAAAATTCATAACCCCTACAACAGCTAATGGCCCTAGTCGCCGGGCTTAAGTTCAATAAAAAAAAAAAAAAAAATAATAATTAATAAGTATATTGATATGATTGTTGGTCAATAGGTCACCGATTTTTATTGAAAGTCGTACAAATCGTCGGATCCCAAACGGCTCCCGTCAATAAAGGTTTTAAGGACAGGTAAATTCCCAAACGGCTCCCGTCGAAAAAAAATGTACAAACAAGTATAATTGTATGATTGTAAACTCTACAATAATTATTAGACATATGCACGTCTGTTTGATCGAAAAAAAAAACAAGAGCTTGTCGAAAAAATCATTTACCAGTTTTCATCAAATAAAATAGCACGCATAAGCTATATAAAAAAATTGTGCCTAACGAATTTATCCGATTTATGATTATTTTTAGTATTTTTATTTATACAAACATTTTTTCCATTATTTATATTTTTTAATGTTAACAATTTAAAATTTCATATTATACTATAAGCTTTATTATATAATTTTTATAATTTACTTAGTGTACACCAAAAAAAATTTTTAATCACACCTCCTTTAAGACAGTTCTAAATCTGTATAAAGTGGAAAGAAATTTGTATTGTAAAAAACCGGAGCCTTTTAGGAAATTACCTGATCGTTAGACTTTTTTTGACGGGAGCCGTTTTGAAATCAACTTTTTTGTAAAACGGGAGTCGTTTAGAGAAACGAAAGCCTAATGAGCTACGACCGTACAAATTACATAAAATACAATTTAGTTCAAATGATATCTACAATATTAATAATAATAATAATATAATTGTATAATAAATTTATAGATATATTCGATTTTATTTGTTATTATTATTATTGATTGCAGTAAAATGTATAATAAATAATATACTTTAATATTTATAACAACCAAAGAGGACACGAACTATTGGGGTCGTGGATATTATATAGACAGACAGCAGCGCATACTAATATAATACCACTTTGATCAATCGTGACAGATAAAGTACGTGAATATTTTATATTATAATAGATGGTAAAAAAAAAAAAAAAACAGTTAATCGTTAAATATATAGCAAAATAAATATATAATATCGTCAAATTAAAATTGATCAACTTGTCTGTTACCGTAATGTCTATCAACCAACCCTTTAATTTGCTAAAGTATATATTTAAATAAGTTTTAAATAATATTTCCTTTCATTTAAAATTTCCTTGATATTCCGCTGAATGTCACATTATAATAATACCTATATTTTTGAAATATTATAATAATTATAGTTAACGGACTTTTTACCAGAAATAAGTCTAAAAAAAAAACTTATTTTGTAGTTCGTGATATAAATTAGAACGTTGAACGGATAATGACATAATGTATGTTTGGTTGAAAAATAGAACGGAACCTTTAAAGCTGAATAATTTATAATTGTTGACAATGTATATTAAATTATCTAATTTAGAGTACATATGATATCACTCCTATGTTATTATCGTTTCATTATAATCGTATAAAAACATTTTTGGGTTTTTTAAAAGTTAAATGAGGTAGATATATATGTATAAATGTATTATATAGGATGAGATTTTGTTGTACCTAACTACTCCTTTAATTAAAGGAGTATTTAACTAAGGAGAATTTAATCCTTAAATTAAAAAATTCGATAATACTTTGAAACTTTAAATCTATTCATAATCTTGCAACGACGATAATGAGTTCCTATAATTTATACCGTAGTTATTCGAGTATGAGTAAAGTGCAAGTGCATATTTTTTGTCGGAAAAAAAAAGGTATAAAGATTTTAATTAACCTTTTGAAAACTATTAAAAGTCGAAAAAAATATTTGGTTTTGTAGTATAAATAAATAGTATGGATTATAATGGATTATTATAGAAAGCAAATATTATTTGTGAGTTATGATATTCAATTAGAGATAGATATGTTGTTAACATTAATTCTCATAATTTTAACAAAATAAATATATTGTATGTATGTAAGATATTGATAATTTATTTATGTTTGCAGAAAACGCTTAGCAAATAGTATAAATGTATTACAAGTTAAAGAAAGTTAAAGGAAAATAAATGCAGATATTAGTTTCAAGTGCTTGGTTTTTAATTTAAACTAAAAAAAAAAAACTGGGGCACTAAAGCCCCATGTTGTTTTTAATTTACAAATAACCTTTTATGATCACGGTTTACACAATGAACAGCATTACTCTTCACACGTTTTGTATATATTAATTTATTAAATATCCATAAATACCATAAATAATGAGGGTGTTAGTTTCAGAACTAGATGTACTTGCTAAGCTCGTCTAAGTTACTCTCAAATTGTTCCTATGGTGAATTCCGATTTTGAAGTTTGAACATACTCGTAATTATAAAATTAACTGTAAAATAAGTCTTATGTAAATATATAATATTAGTTTATACAAAAACAATGAAAATAACTTGTGATAATTATTCGAAATGTAATTTGTGTATGAACATTTTTAACGATTAAAAATCAAGTCTTTATATCAATGTTCAATCTTCAAAGGAGTTGTATTTAATTTTTTCAATAATTTCTCTAAGCTCAAACAAAAATATAATGATAACTTGTGAAAACTTAGTGAATAAATATCATCAACTGAAGTTTTAACACATTAAATATCATTTAATTTTTTTTTTTTAATTTTTCATAGTTTTAAAATTGTATTCATATTTATACTCCAGTGCGACGGCTATTCTACCGTTGAAATGAGTATTTTTTCATTACTATATTTTTTAATTCTTATTTTATCTTAAAATCTTAATATTTGATAAAATCTTTTATGCAATAACTGCACTTATTAAAATATCAAAAATTATAACTTCATTTATATTTTTTATTAAAAGTAAAAATATATTCATTAACATCATATATTATAAATATTATACTGTAATTTATTAAAGATTATTTTCTAAATTCTATGATTCAACTTTGCCTTAAAATGTATATTATAAATGTTATCAATACAAGATTTTAACTTGTACCTTGTGGTGGTTTATAATTTATAATTAAGTTTTAAATTTAAATACAATAATTTAAAATAAGCTCTAAACATCAATAGTACATTATTTAACTATTATACTATTATTTATACTATAATGAATACTTTATAATCGAGGTATAAAATCAGAAATGTCTCTGAACGTCGTGTAATTCCAATTAAAACGCCAATACAGGTACAGATAATAAATTTTATTACGAGTATAAAATTATATTGTTGAATTCAATGTAAAACATTTGAGTAAATGTCATTTCATTATTTAATTTACAATATGATTCTATGAATTCATATTTTACACAACCGACACTTAACGTTAAATATTAATCTTTTAAAATGTATGAATTTTTTTTATGAATCGACATTTTAATTTTACCAAAATATATATAGGTACCTAACTTAAAACATTTTTTCGTTTTTTTTAATAAATGCAATTATAATTTGTTAGGGTAGTGAAAACTTAAATTTCAACATGATGACATCATTTTGATAATTTTCTATTGTATAAAAATCTAGCTATAAAAATTTTTTTACACTTTCAATAAATTCTATATATCTAATACAATAATTTATTTATTTAAATACAAAACATTAATAGATATAATAAAAATGATTTGTGATAAAAGTAATTCTTTGAACATATATTTTTAAATAGACCAATATTTATTTATAGCTAATAATTGATATTGGCAAAATATTTTTATTGCAATACGTCATCAATGTCAATTTTATACTTAATCTATACGTAAATTATGGTTTAATTTTATATTTACAAATTGCATTAATATTATGATTATACAAGAATGTATATAATATTATATTTTATGTCATTTTAATTATAAAAATAATTTTTATGGTTTATATACAAAATAAATAATAAATAAATAAATTATTAATAAATTTAAACTAAATTTAAACAATGTTCGACTTTGATAATGTAGATTTGAACTGATTCAAATTAATGTTTGAATATTCAAAATTATAAATTGTTTACACTTATAATTTGATTGATCCAGCCAATAAATGACGAAACCTTAACGTATACACCAGGTACGTCTATTCTGCCGCATCCAAAACCCCAAGACACCAATCCAGCCAATTCGAAAAATCCATCGTCTTGACACACAAGAGGTCCACCACCATCTCCCTGCAATCATAATTTTAGCATAAATAAAAATTATGTGTTACTGTATTAGTTCATTAATTTTTATCCTATTTGTATAACAACTATAACACTGTGTACATTGTACGTGTGTGTATTCAAAAATTCAACGCCTTATAATGTATAAAGATTTGAGATATGCATTACCTCATAGGTATTACTAATATTACTAGCTATTAAGACTTGACACTTTTTTGTATTTTTAAATTAAGATTTTGACATTTTTAAAAATATAAGACGCATAGTTTATTGCATTTATTTTAATTTGAAACACATTCGTTAAGGCATTATGTAGTACTAAATTTTAATCAATCTGATCGATAAGCAGTGCAACTCACCTGACAGGCGTCGTTTCCGGCCTCACCACCGGCGCAAAAGCTACTGGCTGGGAGTATAAATATCTTCTCGGTGACTGCATTTATCTTGCGAATGCACTCCGTATCGCTGACCACCGGGATCTCAGCCTCACGAATTCGTAACGGTATCGGGCCTGCTTCTCCCATATACCCATACCCTGTGACCGTACACCTCTTTCCGGCTGCATGACTGACACCTCTTGCCGGTAGACAAACCAGGCACACACCATCCTTGAGCTCGGCTTGACCGTGGAGCTTGAGCAGAGCAATGTCGTTGTCCAGAGTCTGAGAATTGTGGTTATGGTGGATGTACGTGGTGGCCACCCGGAGCGTTTGGGCTCCCGGACTCCCGTACTTTCGGGTCAGATCATGATCGCCCACGCGCACGTAGATCGCGTCGCCGGACCTCACAATGCTGAAAAATTACGCGGTAAAAAATTACAATCGTCATTATAGGCTTGTGCTGGTGGTGACGACAAATATTTTACAATATATAAATAGTATAAGAGAAATATTATTTTGAAATCAAAACTATAAAATGAAAAGCTCCAGTGGAGGGTTATACTTATATCCACCTTTCGGTATTCGATCAATACGGAGGGAACGAAGACTGTAGGTTCTATTGCGAACCACAGCGTTGAAAATTATAAATTTATATCATATTATATTACATTAATATAATAGTGTATCAAATTGTTGTAGAATCTCATGGTACAATGTATATTTTGGGTTGTTAAAATAAAACATTGAACATAATAATATGATTATGCGTTTTTGGAGTAATTAATTAGGTAACAGTAAAAATATATGTATTTATTTCAGTTGCGCGTAAAAAATAATATACTTGGAAATTGGAAGTTGTTACGAGTTAACGTAACAATTTACGTTGTTAACGCGTTACCAGTTGCAGATCATATTATTACACAATTATATCAATAATTAACAGTTAGGAATGGAACACTGATAATTATGATAGTGTAATTTAAATAAAAACTTGACTTATAATTGTATTGTATTTTTTATGTAACTAGCATCTTATAATAAATTACAATATTATTATTTTATTTTATTTTATTGTAATTAATACTTTTTTCGCAAACCTTAATATTAGTTCTCATATTATTGTATCCTGGACTATCTGAGAACCGTTATAATTTCCATGTCAATTCTCACAGTTACATATTATAAAGAATTTTACCGTTATTTATACCCATGTATTATTATTATGAGTTATTACTTATTATGCACTAAATATATCTTGTAATAATGATTAAAAAATAAAAAATAAAAAAAATAATACATTTAAATGCAAATTATAAGCTCAAAGTTTGAGTTTAAACAGGACTTAGGTAATTAACAATAATAAATATTAAAGACAAAATATGTATGTGTTAAAGCAGTAAAACAATATTAGAAAGCTTAGAGAATATCTGATATATTTCACGAAGTGAACATCCTCATATGTTTTAATGTCTTATGTAGCAAACGTGTGCAGTATTGCCCATTGTTATTAGAACTATCATTAATACTATTATTGGATTGTGCACTGTAATTTGCTGAATAGCTAAATTATTTTTCTTTTATTTTAACGTATTCTGCCCATCTCACGAATACATTTTATATTTATGTATACCCGCCTCTAGTCGTGCAGTTTAGTACAATGACAAAGATCAAGTAAAAACGCTCACTTTGTCACGCAATGCGCAGCGGTCAACACCCACTGAGTGCCGATCAATGCTCCACCGCATAGATATTGATTTAAGGAGTTGATCAACGCCACTTGCCAACACCACTCGGCCGCGTCTGCGTCTTCACCGCCGACTACTCTCGACGTCCTCGTCCTAGACGTTCCCTTTACACCGCATACGTACTTGCTATAAGTTGGTGGTTTGGAAGGTACAGGATTTGATGTGGTCAGCGTGGACACTGTAGGATTCGCCGAATAATCGACTGAGCAAAAATACGTAATAATTAGTAAAATAATGTCAATAAACAAAAATAACGTTACATAATAAGACGTATACTAAATTAAGGGACACATTCAGCAGAGACGACTGGATATGAAACACTCTTATGATTGGGCGAGAAAGCTCGTGTATACGTATTACGCATCGTGCATATTACCATTATTATCTATACAATACTTTACATTTTAATTCGAGAGCTATAATAGTAAATAATATTATATACTACACAACTGTATTTCAAAAACTGACTTTGAGTAGTACTCGTTTACTCCCGCAAAAACGTTTTTAATGGATTTGTAAATTTATTAAAAATAAAACTGTTATGTTTCCTTGTTTTTTTTTCCACATTAATTGAAATTTGTAATAACGCGGTCTTTCTATCAAACCCTACAACTTTATTATTATATCAGTGTTATGCGTAGCATGTGTAACGTTTTATTATAATATCAAAAATCAAAATACATACTTAATAATTAAAAAAAAAAGTAACGATAATAATTCTTATTTACACGTAAACCAATAAAATGTATAGAGTTGAAAGTTTTTGTTGAGCATTGGAATTATTTTTATTTAATCTGAAACGATATTATATTATGTTTGATCGGACACATAATTTTACAGTCCAATTAGAAATTCGTTAAAATCTTCAATTGTCAATTACACTATTTAGCAACCTCTTTATTATAATATATGTACAGGTGCCCCACTTTGAGCTGGGTTCCTTTAGTTATAATATAACGCCTCAACCATAGTCATTACGATGAAGCCGGTTTGACATGTGCGAGATGTCCCATATCCATTGTAATAATTTATTGCAAACACAGATACATGTACTTATTATCAGAATAAATTTAATTAAATTTCTTATTGATCTTTATAATTTTAAGATTGTCAAGAAAACATTAATTGTTGATATTTTACAGCCAAGGCTGTAGACTGAACACGTATTAGCTATTAACCTATTAACGCTAGAGTATGGTGTAGTAGGTATTTATAAGAATTGTAATTTACTTGTGACACTTGTGTTGTAAAATTATAAAAGTTTGAAACTCTTTACATGAAAACCATTTTAAAACTGACTTACTATTTTGTCCTAAAAGTTACATTTATAAATATATTTTATTCATTTAAATAATTTTTTTTTTAATTCTTGTTTTTTAACGTTCAAATTGCTTTTCAAATTTGACTTAGTTAAATGTTAAATGTTAGGATGTTTTTAAAAATCTATAGTAAATATCAAGTATGCATGTTCAATTTAATTTAATTAAATCACTTCGTAACGTTTTAAGTGGGAGATTACATTTATTTTAATATATAAAAAAAAAATGGAATACTTTGAAATAACAATTCCTTTAATTGAAATACATAGCTTTTGCACGTTTTGTTTGATATATATTATACATAACGTAATCAAATTATAAACAAATAAAAACTGTTGCGGATAGATGCACGTGACTATAGTTCACGTAGGATTATTTATACTTGAAATCGTTTTGAAAAAAAAAGCTTTGCGTGGCTTTCTGTTTACCGAAAAAATTTTAATGTTTGTATAAAACTAATAAAAACTTTATGTTTTAAAAACAATTAATTAGAAAAAAAATCTTAGTAAAAGCGTGAGTGTACAATGCACATGTAAATAATCGTAGATACCGTTTTGTGTGTAACTTTCAATCAAAAGAGTCGCTCGAAATTTATTGTAACTTTTACGTTTATTATAATACTGTTCTTCGTGTTAACTTATACACGTGTACTGACCTGGTGACGGGGTGTATACTTGTAACGAACTGGGTACGTGCGGCCTAAACGGCGGTATAGTATCGTTTCTGTGCGTGAATCCGCCATAGGTTTGCGGTGTAGATTGTTGTGAATTGGCCCCTTGGTTGATGACGCCAGTCTTCTGTTCGACAACTTCGCGGATTTGAGTTTTTGAAGCACAACACTGCGTCCCCGGTTTTCGGCATTTGAATACGTCCGTCATTTCGGCGTTTCCTAAGAGCGTACACAAGACCCGTTATTGACTTTTTTTTTTTTTTTTTTTAATTTAAAAAAACCTATCGATTTCTTTATTTTCGTAGACAGATCGATAGATGGAGAGGAATGGATGGGCGTAAAAAGTCGATGCGGGGAGAAAAATATAGTGATCAATGCGAAGGACGAGGTAAGAGCCAACACTACAATTTATCACGGGATGGTTGCTTAGGAAGGGACTGTGTTACCAGAACAAAGCATGAACGAGAATATGGGATTGGTCATTTGTGTATAAACGTTTTGTTGCATTTCCGGTTGGCCGGGTAAGTTATCCTATAGTTAGGTACTGCTCCGTAACGTTTAAGACTGAATATCCGACGTGCGCGGGAACGCGCGTGTCGCCGAAACGTCGTCGATGACACACACGTCGTATTAATAGTTAAACTTATAACTGAAACTGAAGACTTACTGAAACAAGTGAACGACAAGTAAGGGACGATGCACGATCCCGGGCACTCTGGCCGTCCGTCGGGCGGTGCGGGCGGCGTGGCCGCCGTGGTGGTGGTCGGCGCGGCGGCCGGCTTGGGCTTGCACGGCGTTCGAGGACGACGGGCGGCCGCTGCCTGGTGTTGTCGCAGCAACCGAGCCGCGTTTGCACGTGGACGTACGAGACCAGCGACGGCCGTTCGCAGAACGCGGGCCATCAGGTTGAGCAGACAGAAGCCCGGGCACTTGGGCCACGGCGGTCCCGCGGCCGTGGTGGACGCGGGCGGCGGCTTGGCCGACGGCTGTCTGGGCGGCTGGGCGGGACGCGACGGCGGCGGCGGCGGCGGCGGCTGCTGCTGCTGCTGGCCCGGCTGTCCCGGCTGTCCGTCGGCGGGCGCGGTGACGCAGCAGCTGCTGTCGTCGCCCGGACAGTACGCGTCGGCGTCCACGTCGTCGCAGAACAGCGCGAACAGCCCGCTGACGCACTCGCCGCGACACTGTTTGCTGCCCACGGGCGGCGCGGGTGCGGCCGCCGACGCGTCCGCCGCGGCCGTCGTCGTGGTCGTTGCCGCGGTGGTCGTGGTGGACGGCGGTGCCGGCGGCCGGTGTGGCGCGTTGCTCACGCTGATCCTGGTCGAGTTCCTGTCCAACACGACCAGATGTTCGGCGCCGGCGAACGCGTCCTTGGACACGCAACACCGCAGACCCGTCTTGCACATCTCCGTCACGTTCAGCACGGCCTCGCAGTAGTCCGCTATTCTCTCCGCCACACACACTCCCGGACACACGATCCCTTCGAGATGAAATCATACGAAAACCATTAAGCGACGATATTGCTGCTGATGGGCCTGACCTAATCTAACCTAAACGTCCGTAGCAAAGGTCCGCTGCTCCACAAAAAATATTCTATTTCCGGTGTCGATAATATAAACTCTTTTTTTTTTTTTTTTTTAACGTTTTTGTGAAAAACCGTACACGATACCCCGAGAAAATATAGGGTTGGATTAAAGAAACGCATTTTTTTTTTTTTTTTTTTACTACTATTTGCGTTATTACGGATAACCTATCAGTTTTTATGGTCTGCGCAATAGAAATTTCGATTAATAAAAAAATAGTGTGATAGTTATAAAGATCTGTGAAAATAATAAATTACCACATTCGAAAAGATGTACCGAATAATAGAGCACGAAAAAAATGAAATATTGAACAAAACTATTGAAATACTACTCTTTTAATCAGAAAAAAATGAGTATTTAGCCTATATTTATTACTAAAATACCTAGTAAATACTAATAAATAAAAACAAAACCTATCATAATACAATATGTACAATGTACTCGTGTAAATTATACCAAAAAACAAATTTACATTGTTCATTTCGCTTAAAATATTATTGCCGAGTCGTCGATCAGTCAAGTTAGTAATTTCTTTTTAAAGCGCGCTTACATTCCCACGTCAAAAAAATGGCCCGTTTACTATTTCAGTTTACCTTCTTACCCGGATTGTCCGCGGACGACGAGTTCACAGCCGGCCTCTGTTGTTGACTGCTAGAAGAGACCTGAGAGACAAAAAAAAAAATTCAAAACAATTTTATCATTAATAGTCTATAGTTTAGTCTTGTAATGGTGAGATCAGTATCACTGTCCCTCTTTTTCAGGACACTGGACAGTGGACTTGGTTATGTGCTAAGAATAAGTTAATTTTTTTACGATTACAATATAATCAGATAGTATTCAATTAGGATCGAAAATTTAGTAGTATATGTAGTAAATATATAAGCGCATATTGAAATTTAACAATACCGATAATCTGAGTGAAAAGGCTTAGTTGTGATATAATTGTTACTTTATTATAAACTATCACGAACTTGAACGCCACACGGCAGAAGTCTTATATCTAAATTTAAATTCCGCAAAATAATTTTCGTTTACTGTATAAATAAATTATGAAAAACGCCTTAAAACACAAAAATTCAAAATGAAAATTACGTTAAAAATATTATCAGTGTTATCCGAAACACATTTTACATTTATGTGCATTTTAGAACACCAAAAAAAAAATGACATTGCACCGAAATTCCAGTCATAGTTATTATAACCGTATTGTCTGCCCGTAGAAACGAACAGGAATATATCACTCACCGCTTGCGGGCGGGCGCTGGACGTTGTGGTCGGTGTAGTTTGATCCACCTTGTTGACGGCGGCCGCCGTGCCGTTGGCTGGCAACGGGGGAGGTTCCACGCAGCATCGCATCGTTGGGCTAGGACACTTGACGTTTTCCAGCACCTCGTAACATATGAGTGTGGCTAGCGTGTGTACGCATACACCAGGGCAGTCCTTGCTGTCCGCCGTACTAGTGATAGTGTCCAGTAAACCTGCAATCAAAAAAAATCGTGGTAAATCGTGAACGATAATAACAATAATAACAATATGTAGCTGAAAAATATTAAAAAAGTTATTTTTTAAGCGCGAGCTGAATTATTGATCCTCGTTTAAATTCGTGATATATCCTTCAACTGGCCGAGTTGGTCTTATTGGCCTACCACACGATTTACAAACGCATCCATGGCTGATGAATAAAAGTTAAAATATACTATGTAAACCATAAAGCGTATTAAAATATAGTAATATGTATTTGTATGAAAGTTTTGTTAATTTATTGCTATTGTACGATATATAATTTCATAAGATACACGTTTTTACTATGACGAGGAAAAATTGGCTGGCTTCCTTATTAAAAAAAAAACTCAAATAGATGCAGTGAAGTGTAACTCTAAAATAATCCAATCAATTTAAAGAACATAATTTCTGTGTATAAACAGACTATATACATGATTAAAATGTAGTAGTGTGTAATGAAATGGATGCGTATAATGTCTTTGGAACTTGTATTGTAAATACGAGTGTTAAGCGAATTAATGAAATAATAAACATTTAGGTTAATATTAAATTTATAATCAACCCAATAATAAAAGATTGTTTAGATTCCAACGAGTAGTTTATTTTGTCATAGTGGGAGGGGCGTCGTACAGTTAGACGCATCTTCAATACGAGTACGCGCGATCAAAATATCCAAACCAACAGTCATGACGGCTTCAGAGCTTGATTGGGAGACGGGGGCTGATATTCATAATAATATCAAACCATTGTTTATTTTATATTATTATACATAGTTTATTTATATTTCATTGCATAGATAATAGGTAGCTATATGGCTAAATACCTTTAATTTCACACTTGTACTTGTCAATAATAACCAATGTTATAATACGTTTTATTTTTGTAATTTTGTTTTCGACAGTGTAAAATTTTTTGGACTTGAAGGAAGCGTGCTTCTAGAACACCCCCCCCCCCCTCCCGGGGAGACACCCTTGACAGCAGTGGATAGCGACAACAACAATATTACTTAGTCGCAATTATTACAATGAATTTCGTCCATAACAACAACAACAATATTAATAATAATAATAATAATACATAAGTAGGTATTCGGGTCACACGCCAAAGTATAATAATATTTTCCCGGTCCATTGTATGCGTGGCGTGCATATAACGGTCCTGCGCGGATCGCACGTTTCCGTAACGGTATCCGTGCGGTGGCGGTGGAGGTGGTGATGGCGATGGCGGTAGTGGTGTGTGTGTCATAGGAAGTGCTAGTCTGTGATCTATACAATTATAGATCTTGGTGCCGGCTCGTGATCTATACACTCATAGGAACTTCAAACTTGGTATCGGACGGCCGCACTTTATCGGCAGTCCTCACGGTTTGCCACGATATAATAATAATAATAATAATATTATTTAGTCTTGGCAACGGCATTTCCACGATGCGTTCAACTACTATTATACGCATTACATACCGCGGTAGTGGTTATATAATAATGTACTGACGATGTTTGCCTTTTCATATTATGATAACACATCATAATCATATACCTATAGGAATAGTTACAGTGCGTTAACGCTGTAATATATATATAGGTAATACACGACTGGGTCATAGTATATTCTATGTCCAATGGACTGGATTATCGAAGTAGAAAAGATTGTTTTTAGTTACTACTAAAATTCAAATTTTTTTGTTAATGTTTACATGGCGACGAATGTGATGTAAACGTGATTTTTGTACATAAATTCATTTCGTATCATTCTAACTAGGCGCATTAAAATAAACTTTATTTTGTTTTTTTCCTTAACTGTACTTTTTTTGTAATGACTGTGTCATTTTTTGAATAATTTCAAAGAAAATCTTGTAGATTTCCTTGATAGTATTAAATTAGCCTGGTTACTTAAGTATACATATCACCAGAAATATGTAAAATGTTCGTGTTTCACCAATGAAATTTTTTTTGTTTTGTTTTGTTTTTTAGATAATGAGTGGAAACAATTTTAATGATCTATTTCTCTACAAATTCCGAGCCCTAGGTAGTGAACATTCTTTGTCGATACACGCGAAAAACGATCGTTAACGATCGAACTAATTTTAATAATTATATTTCACGGTATACAATAACCACACGTGCGTTATATTAATACGTATCTACGCAAGGTTCTATAACACGATAATATTTCATATTGATTTATCGATAGGTACGGCGGGTTTTTTTAAATAAAATCGTACTTTGGAGTAACACCTTAAAAACATAACGGAAACGGGTTTCGTTTGAGGAACAGGTTTCAAAATTAACATCTTCATAATTCGAAACACACAAGTAACATAATATTTTATATTCCAAAAAACTGCCAGGTCACGGAATCTAGTTAAGACACACACATACACACACACGAGCGCGCTTGTATATATAAAGTAACGATATTTAATGAGAATTTAAAAGAAATTAATTAATGACGGCGATGACATGGCGCGTTGTAAACATACATTTTATTCATCGACGACGGTACTGCAGAAATAATAATATCATATTATGTAGAGTTTTATGAACTTTCCAATGTAACAATCAAGGTAATATATCTCTACCGACCAGCGTTTTATCAACATGGCACGATTAATTTCATTATAATTTTTCCTGAATTTTATTCAGATAAACATCAATAATCTAATACAGGTATATTTAAAATTAACACCGCGTACAAGCGTTTCCTGAACTTATTTAAGCTGATTTCGCATGTTAAACGACCTTCGCCTATAAATAGCTGGTATCGTAGAATATAGGATTTGCGGATCGCGATACAATTATTTATTTTTTCGTAATTTAAAAACACCCGTTATAACAGGCATGCTGCACGTTTCACCTTTTTAGGTATTTCAATGATACTATACTACACTATAGGTACGGTCATCGCAGTAAGGACGAGGAAATTCCTCGGAGGAATCGTCCTGGACTAGGACAAGACGATTTTGGGCAGTGGTGGCTGAGATTTCGCCGATCGTCTAGCGGGTTCAGTAACCGGCAAGGTCGAGTGAGTCCCCGGCATCGCCACCGCCATCGGTTCGACTGCGGTTACCCGTAGTACCGGCAATAACGATAATAGTAAAAATAATAATAATAATAATAATAATAATGATAATGCATCGTCGTCATCGCGATCGTCACTCTCTGGGCAATAGTGTGGTACGCGTAAAGTGGGCGTGAAACCATGACGACGGAACACTAAGCGCGTTTCGATCGCTGTCTAACGAGTAATAAATAGGTATTATATTATTATTATTATTATTAGTATTATTATTACTATTATACATAGGAGGTACGTCTGGTGTGCTTATAATATTATAACCTACGACGACGACGACGACGACGACTTGTACGACGGCGGCTGATCGGGGTCAAACGCTTTCTTTACAAAACGTCGTGTACCTGCTTGCGCACGCCGATTGTTTTGCGCCGGCACGCCAGATACCGTTAGACCTACGTCGTCGCAGTGGTCGTCGGTCGCGCGTGTCCTCGTTCCGGCGATATTAAAAGATATATTCATATCGTCGTCGTCACTATCATTCGGTCGTCTATACGATAATGATAATGACGATTACGAGTTATGATATTATAATATGTTATATCGCTGTCGGTAGAATTAAATTCCGTCGCTGATGGAGACATCTCCGTTTTCTCAGACATTTCACCGTATCTTTTTTGATCATTTTAAGCGGCGTACGAGTCAAGACAATAAAATTATTTTATGCATACAATGATCTCGTTCATTTGAGTGTTTAAACTCGTTATTTCAAAAAACCTTAGACGAACAGAGTAGGATGGCGATGTCGATCCAAAAACGTTAACCATGAAAAATTTAAAAAAAATTAAATTGTTTTTTAGAAATGACGATTACAAAGGCTTCAAATAACATGAAAAATCGGTACGAAGACATTTAAGTCATGAATCGCTTTATTGTAACTACACCTACCCAGCAACAAATTTTCCGTACGTTTTAGTACCTCCCGTATACGAAAACATTTTAGAACTATTTGAGCACTAATTATTATGTGTTCGATCAACGATGTTGATTATATAATATTTATGGACAGATATTGTGTAAAATTAAACTCGTTAATTTAAAACTACCATCGCTATGACTTTTATTGTGTTATTGAATTTTTTTAAATTCATTACCGAAATACTGAACATACTACATTTGGAAAACGCTCACAATTAAGGGGCATAATATATAATAATTAACTATCTACGAACTATAAGTAATAAAACATAAAAATTATAGTAATCTTTTTAACTAAAGAATTTATAATAATAAAAATAAACAACTGATATTTTATAGAATAGTTATAAACATTATCTTGAAACCTTTTCTTAGTCAATTGATTTCCAAATACCATTTGCGTGGTATGAACTTTTTAAAAATATATGCTATGGGTATTAAAAAGTAAAATTATGAATTATTTAATAGTATCGTTTTTGATTTTTTTACATATCATTCATTATAATACCACCTGTTGAGTATTTTTCTTTTAATGCTTAAAACTTGCTTGAGCAAAGCCAGAAAAGATCATTTAAATTTGTAAATTTTACTATGCATGGTAAGATATGGGAGGAGGCAGAGGAGAAAATTCCAAGAAAACTCGGGGGTAGTAATAACCAAGATACATGTCGAGTAAACTGATCTCAATCACAATTTCTTCGTAATTAAAAAAAAAAGAGAGAACCTAAAATTATGTGCATTTCGCGCAGTAAAATTAAAACACATTTTAACCGAATGCTGCATATATGAGCTTGAAATAAAATGCAATTTTTCGGACCTTGTTTCAGAGTTCTAACTTCAACCCTCGGCCAGACTCAATAGTAATGATAATCAATCATAGGTGTCATCATCACCTCAAAACTCTTGAACAAAATAAGTTTGCGTCTTGAAGTACGGTTTTGCTACAGTGGACAATGGAACAGCAGAGAGCCGTTTCATCTCCCGGACCGGCGCTAATAGTTTACGCTAATAAGATAGGCGTAAACGTTATACAGGAAACATGACTGTATACGAAAAAAGTGCCAAGGGCGTAAGAAATATCATAAACGATTTTCACTAATACTAATATTTTATACATTTTAAAATATTATAAAAGTCGCCAATATCGTTTGTATCGTTGTCCTGTAGAGGTCCTGAAAAACGTGACAGTGTTTACCTGAGAAAAAACTGCTGGCCAATGAGTCTGCGTCCTGGCCGCTGACCATCACTGCGGCGGGCCGCAGCGCGGCCGCGCACAGCAGCAACTGGATGAGGGGCGCCACGACCCCGGATCGGGCCATCGCGTGGCGGTGTGTGGACGTCGTCGGGATGCCCGCCGACTAGGGGGGGTTGCGGCGGCGGCGGCGGCGGTGGCGGCTGCGGAGGAGACGACGGCTACACCGGAAACGGACGCGGACACCCCCGACGGAGGGCGTGCGGCGGCGGCGGAGGCTACGACTTCGAAACACCCGTCAACGACGTCGTTCGCGGGCCGCGTGGCTGCGAATCGGCAGACTTCTGCAAGTCGTCATGACGGTCGAGTCGTGTTTCGCACGCGCTGCAGTGCAGCGCCTCAGAGCGTCCACCGAAAACTACCCCCGTCCGTGCGGGTCGTATAATGTCACGTTGTCTCGTTTCCCGTGCGCACCACTCTCGCAGACGGGACAGGACACGACCGTCTCGAAACGCGTACAAACACCGCAGACCGAATCGCGCGCGGGCGCGTGTGTATGCGGGGGCGGCGGGGTAAAGGATATCGCGCACTCGTCGGTGTGGACGCGGAACGAGATGCGGCGCGACGTGCGTTCGTGACGTCTGTTGCTGGCGGATCACGCGAAACGTTTGTGATCGTCGCCGCCGCCGCCGCAGCTGGACCGGGCCGGTCGTGTCGGAGCGCTCGCGTGCGGTCCGGTCTTCGCCGTCACCGATCCCCTCCCCGGGGGCCGTTCGTCGTCGGCTTCTCCACTGCCGGCGACCGTATCTACCGCTACCCGAGTAGATATCAAAGAGTCTTACACACGTAGACTATATAGAAAACTGACTCGTACGTTTCACCCACACGCATAAATGTATAAGTGTGTGTGTGTGTGTGTGTGTGTGTGTAATAAAGACATGAATAGGCCAAAACATTGTACCTATACATAGAATGGGGTAGGAAGAATTGCGGTCTTTTTTGTGGAAGAAAGAGAGAAAGAAAATATCATACGTATAAATTAAAATAATTATTTATTTAATAATTATTAAATTTGGAAGTTTCTCTTCTTGTCGCGCGGTAATGGGGTAGATATATCAAAAGTCGAGTTTTTCCATCATTTTTTTGTTACCTAAAAGTTTAAAATCATTTATGATCGCGCAAAAAACCGATAAATATGTAAGTACATGTTGTTACACAACGAGTGCATCCCTGAGTATATATTATATTCACATTTTAAGTTTTTGTATCATCCTATATACATCATTGCGAGGTTTGTATTAACGATTGCGGCTTGTTGACATGCCATTTGCCCCGATTCAGGATGAGTACATTACAATAAATTATTATTAATAATAATCTAAACAAAATATAAAATAATATACTGGGTTGTTTAAAGTTTTTCAAAGTCATCCTCCTATGGTCCTCTTCTTCTTATCCTGCACGTGTACTTATTTGGGGAGATAGATTGTTGAAAAATATACTTTGCAATAATGTATATGTACCAATATTGTTGATATTCATAATTAAAATATGTTAAAAATTATAGTCGCAATACGAATATGTTGGAACGAGTGTAGTGCGATGACTTTGGCTATCGGTTTGACGTTATTCGTGTAATAATTATAAGTCTTTTAAAAGATGTTTTATAAATACCATAAACTGAATTTCAAATATTATTCTTTAAGTTCCTAGCCTTAGTAAGAAATAATTCAAACATTTTCGTTATTAAATAAAATAATAATATAAAGTGATAAAATTAATCAGTACTTGGTAGACAGTAGTTGATAAAATTATTGAAAAATAGCTGGTCATTATTCCTTAACTTAAAGTATGCATTATGTACCAAAAATAATTAATAACTAATAAATTAAAATTAAAATAGAAAATTAATCATGAAGTATAATAGTTTTAAATTTTCACGCAACTCAACAACACAATTTATTTGCATGAATAAATAATAATAAGGCTATAAGGCTATAACATGTGAATATTTTTTCAGGAGATTACGACGACGACAATAAATAAGTTATTTAATTAATTGCCTGGACATTCTATTTAAGTTCCCAAAAAATACAGAAACTTTTTAAATTTTCCCAATATACCTGCAAGCAGTGTACATAAATTGCTCAAAATATATGTATGTATATTTTGGACACACGGATAGTTACCACATTTTCCTTTATTTTCAATACGATTTATCAATAGATTCTATCAATATAAAAACTTAAAATTTCGTTTTTACTTTCAAGTCAATCCTGACCAATTAACCTTTTTATTTTGAATATAATTTTTTATAATGGATTAATACAGAATATATATAGAAAGATAATTTATTCACAATAAACGTAATAAATGACAAATGTAAAAGTATAGAAAATATTATAATATACGTACATTTGTATTAATCATAATTGTTCACACGTAAAAAGTTACGTAAGGTGTTTTTTCCGTATCAAAAGAGAGCGAAGAAAGGTTATTGCTTAGTCATCTTAATAATCTCGATATATTTGTAAAATTATTATTGTGGTTACAAAAAGGTCTATTCAATGTATTAAAGCTGAATTTCCAGTAATACTTATTACACACATTAATTTCATCAATTTTAATTTATAAATTATACTATCACGAAGTAGGTACTGAATAAATATTTATGTTTTTGACGACACACAATATATTCGTAATACAAGTTTTAAAATAGGTACCTACATAATTTAACATTAACATACTTCATGTTATGTATAAATATCTACTACGATATAATATAATACCACAGTACTCGACGAACTAACGTCATATTAATAATACTATATTACTCGTACACATCTTCGATTCCATCACACGTTATTATTACATCGCGGAGTGGCGGAGACTTAAACGACTCAAGTATATTATGGACACTATACGTGCCTACATCGTTGAACCGTAGAAAAAAATCATATAATTAGCGATATCGTATATATAGCGATTGATTATACTAACATTGATGATTTTTGAACGATGTATAACGGTGTATTTATATAATACATATATATGTGTGTTATGTATAATGCATATAATATTATTGTCACGACTGAAACGACGAAGGCCGCGAAGAGGATTATTATCACCACGCGAATCGGGCGGAAAGAATGCGCATTCCATCTGGGTTTTGTACGTACCTATATTGTAGCGGGACAACACTGTCGTCTATAATAATAATAATATATAATGTTATAATTTATAAGTATGACTATGGAATTTACCTACGATTTTCGAGCGGAAACTCGAATTTCATGATTTCGTCTCACACGGTAACTCGCGACAAGCTATATATACGGTTCTTAATCCTTATTATATTATCCCATTTTTATTTTACGAAATATGTTTTTTCCCCAGTATGTCGGTCGATGGGAACGTTATCTCATCTTATCGGTTATACATACGCACATACATAGACTGTACTGACTGTAGGTACAACACACGCAATACATATTAATATTATTATAAATTATGGTTGTTGCATAGAACGGTGTGCTGTGAGTCTTCAGCTGTTACAGATTAAACGGTCGGCGAAGGACGGCTATAGGTATAACATATAATATAATATATTACGATAATACGCTGTTACATATATTACTATTATTTATTATTATCCGCGGACCACACGCAATATATAATATGCTGTCGTCGTATATATTATAAAAGTCCGATGCAGAAGTTGCAGCGCGCAGAAAAATCTCACACAAGCACATATTATATACAATACGTTGTACAATGTACATATATATAAAATAAAAATAAATTGAATATACAGTAACCGGTATATATATATATATACGTATGTACACACGCATGTATATAATAATAATAATAATATATTAAGACTTGATTGGTGTTGTGTGGTTTTATAACGGGTTCTTCCAACATTCGGACAATTCATTCACGCGCGGTGTTTGCCCGGGGGCCACCACTCCGAATTCCGGGTCCAAACCAATTCAGGTGTTCCTAAATAGAAGAGTAAATCCCGAAAAAAAAATCCATATTTGGTTTATCATTTTATTAAGTATCGTGGTTTTTTTTTTTTATTGGTGCCTTCGTATAACATTATTTTGACTCGAACAAAGCCAAAAGCGTTTGCGTGATTTTATCTTTTTTCAAAATCATCGGATGGTACCGAATGAATTATTGTCATAATAATTGTTATTGATTATTACTAATGGTTAGTGGCGCCTGCGCTTATAAGTCGACGACAACGTACGTCTCGGGATCGTAACACAAAATAAAATAGGTATACTACCCATCTACCTGTATTATGACGACCAAACGCTAACCGACCGTACTTGGTTTTTGGTATCCAGTGTACGGGTCACGGGGGAATGTATGTAACCAGAAAAGGATAAAACGTGGCCACTTCGATGTTTTAAAATTTTAAAAACGATTAGATCTTTTTAAAATCGTCGAGTACAGATCTGTAGCGATCGATAGGATAAGTCGCTTTATACCGTAGGTATATAGATTTGTATCGCTGTAGTAACAATGATCTGCAGTGTGTATAGTATTATAGATGCGTACGGATAAACAATTAAATCAAAAATAGCAATAAAAAATATTGTTGGAAACATACTGGGTTGGCCGAAGGTTTCCATTCCTGATCGCTTTTCGTCTACAGTGATAATTTGTTTTCAAAATTTAAATCCATATCCAAAACATCCACGTTTATTGCCTGCAGCTATCTACGCGATGACAAGGAACACACTCGTCGACTTACTATAAAACATAAAAGCACAGGTTACTGCAGCAGGGCGACTTTGCAGGTTTTTAAATATGTCTCGATTGTCTCATTATGTATAGTATTGTGTTTGTCCGTCGACTTTTTCTGGAAAAAAAAAAAACATATCCCTAAATTCTGACGAGAATTGTTCGTATTTGTTGGCTGGATTTCTCTCGTCGTGTACACTGCATAATATAATAGTTATAGCCGTTGTAACTTGATAGGTACGATCTATACAACACTATGTTACTCTTACTCTGAAGATAAAACAATGTGGAATTCGCAATTCCCAGGAACAAATAACGATACCGTGAATAAATAGTGTTCCGCTATAAGTATGCACATTTATCACAAAAAGTCATAATATTATTATCATGTAACATACTTTGGCCGTAAATCATTTTTACGTATACCTACGACAACTGTAAAACTGTTCATACAAATAATACTTATATGTGCGTGTGTTTGTGTGTGTGTGTGTACAAAAATAACAAAAATACACATCTAATGAGGCGTGCAGTAGTTATCCGTTTAATTGCGGTGACTTTGGTACGAGTACGCGTGCTATATAGTAAAGTAAGTAGGTGACAGGTGTATTTATAAGTATATAATTATTGCCACCTATACGGTATAGGTAATATTACCTACATTTACCCTACAAATAACGCATTGTTTTGTGCGTGTGTATTTGTGTCAAAAATGAATAAACTGGAATAGTACAATTTTCTGGTATTTTAACGGTTATGTTCAATACTTTAATAATATATATATATACATACATTCATGCATACAAACACACACACATACATCTACGAATAGTGTGGCTTTAATAACATTTAAATTCGATTTTCACGGTGGTCTACAGACATTGTCAACACAAAAATATACATAGGTACCTACTTATAGGTATGAGATAGAAGCACGCGGTCGAGTGTCGAGTATTTTATTTCAAGAACAAGCAACAATGGTAAGTATTAATTTTATAAAAATGTTCAATATGATAATATTTCAAAATGTTCAATATGATGGCTCCAATGTCCACATAGTGTTGTCCAGTCTTGAACATACCAAATTCGGATTCAGCATAACCAATTTTATACCTATTTAGTGAATATTGAGCGAATTTACATTTTATCAAACTTAATGGTAAGAACATTATCTATGTTTTTACAAAATTAAAATTTTTATACATGTTATGAACAATTTTTAACTGTAATGATTTTTACATTTCGCTAAAAAATTAAATATCCTATAAACCTAACGTAAAATACACATATGTTTTTAGTTTAAAATTTAATATATTATATAAGATATATCTACTACTGAATGAATGGAAATCTATCATGTATACCAGCACGGGCGCCCATCAATTAAATTTAAGGAGGGAGGAGGTCAAAATATGTCAAAAAAGTCTTAAAATATAAACTAAATAAACGTTTAATCTATGATTAATCTTGTGAACATCTACTAAGTCGTGAATACGACTACCTATATATTTCGAATCCCTATAGTGATAAAGAAAAAAAATAATTTATTTGCTCTTTAGGTAATTAGATAATATATCTATAAATTATAATGGTAATAGTTATTATAAGATCATATTATTTTTCCAGGCGGAGGGGGGTAAGTCCCATCTTGTCACCCCCTCATGTATACCAGGGATGGGTAACTCAAAATTACTAGAAGACCACTTTTTAGAAAATTAAAATCTAGCGGGACAGAACATAGAAAGTAAAAAAAAGTCATTAAAAATATTATGCATTTTAATTAGCATTTATTTTGTTTATAATGTGAATTTTTAACTTTAAAATTGTATGATGTCATTTGAAAATGTAACACGGGCCACGTAAATTATAAACATATACCTATTTAAATTTAATTAATAAGCAAAAAAATATTTTTCGAGTTCCGTAGCAATCACAACGGTTAAAAATCAAAATAGATAAATAATAACGTTCAACACTTGTAGATATATCTGCCTACTACCTACTTACTCAAGTAATTATTATCAATAAGATATTGAGCTTCATCATCTACCGTTGTATATTCGTGCATCGTGCATCCGTGCTACAAACGAATCTTTTATGGACTGTGCGGGCTATGATTGCTGGATATTGAATTTCTTAGTACCTACGTGATTCAATAATATTATTTTCATTTTTTTTTTTTTTTTCATACTTAAAAATGCTGTTTCTTTAGAAATATAAAATACAGAATAAATAGAAATAATAAATTATGAATCAACCGTTACCAACGTTAGTGTTTCATTATCAATATTAAACGTTTACGCTGTCACTTACCTAATATTATATTCGTGTTGGGTATTTCACGTGCAGTTAAACATTTTATAAATATTATACTACCTATTGATATTTAGATTTACTTCATTCATCCTGTCTAAGGTACCTGACCTAACCTAAGCGTAAATGTTTCAAGTTTGTTGAACCTTCTTTTGATTCGATTTATTTGAATTTATACTTTCGCCACTGTTTTCGAAAGCAAAAAAAAATTTAAAACTATAATGAATATAGGTAACTATAGTAAATAAATTTTGTACACGTATGAACAATGTGCAATTGTAGAAATGGTTTATATTTCCGTATTAAAGTGAATAATTTCTATTCTGACACGAATTAGCTATAACAAGTCGAGTTAGTCACGTAGGTACCATACAAGATATATATATATATATATATATATATATAGATAAAACACGATATACCTCTATACTCTACTATGTAGCAGAAGTCATTTATAATGGGTATGTACCTACTATGTATACTTTATTACCCTGCATCATTGTGACCGCACCAAATTTCAAATTCCTCCCAATATTGGTCTCTGCTTTAATCGCGTCTTAAGGTAAGTAGTGCAAAATTCGACTTTCACAAAAATTCAAGTAATGAAGTTATTATTGTTCTGGATGCTCAATTCCCTACAATATTTAAGTATATTCTATAGCATAAATTAGGTATATTTAATATTTCATAGAATGTCTCGTGTAGTTCAATGAAGATAAAAGTGTTTCGTATTAGAAATGTTAGCTCGAGTCATCTAGACATAATTTTACATAATTCGTTTTAAATAGTTTAAGTACTCGTAATAAGTATAATGTATTCAATATTGAACAATTTGAACATTAAGGTTAAGTGTATATTTTTTTTTAAATAGCGTGAGATGGCTAGGCGCACCTATATCGTCTAAATATACACATATAGTTATAAATTAGTGATACCCAAAACAATTAAATAGATATTGTAAATAAAACGTCATATACATTTTTAAAAACAACGTAAATATTTAGTTTAGGTTTAGATGGATTACTGAATTTTACTGGTTCTATACCCGTATACTACTTACTTACATCAATTAAAATTAATCATCTGAATATATTAATGTATTTATTATAACGGTTTTCCTAGACATTAACAGACAACACTATTATCGTGAAGAATATACCGGTCTAATAAATAATACATAGGTATTATATTATGTCCTTTTACGGTGAACTTCGCGAGACAATCCTGCAATAATAATTTCATGTTCGCAATAATATATTGTATTCTAATTATCTACAATTAAAATATCGAACAGACTAGACTAAAAATAACAATGATGTATAATTAATTATATGTTATGTAAATGTAATATTTAAATATTATGTTATTTTTGCTTAGAACGTTAGAGGTACCTACCTACCTAGTATAGAGTGTAACATGTCTTTGCATTGTTAATGATGTTTTTACAATGTCCTTTTTTTTAAAATGAGTAATGACTGAATGAGTAATATTTCTAAATTTTAATATTATGCACACTTTAAACTCACATGGACATTAAAATACTGAACAAATACCTCAAAAAAAAAAAAATAAATAAATAAGTCAATACAATATTCAAATTTCTACCTTTAAGTTTGATTGTATATCAATCAATTCATTCAACACTCTAATATCCAAACTAATGAAATCAAACTTGATTATCAATCTAAGACTGTGAGATGAATAAAACAAGTGTGGATATGATGCGACATTCATGTTCTGTTCATTAATAGCTGTATGTCTTTATGTTATTTATTAATTATTATTATATAGGTACCTATCTAAGTATTATAAATAATTTAATTTTTATATTATTTGTTTTTCAAGGTACTTATTTGCTGTATTCAACTGAATGTTAATTAATTTTAGTAAAATTTATATGTACTTACCTAACGTATAAAATATCTTCAACATAGTTAAGGAATCTAAGTCCGCAATACTGGAAATTTTTAAATTTTAGCTCTGCCAGTTAAAATTAATGGCATATTAAATATTAAACAATTTTAAGTTGATGTATACACAAACTAATCTGCATATATACTGTTTGATAATCGTAGGCATTTATTTTTTGTGAGAGGGTTGTGAAAGTATTGTATGCCTATTAAACAGAATGGCGGCTTCATTATAGAATATAATATTATGAAACATTACTAGCAAGGTATATCATCTTACTCGAATAACTTCTTAATAATATAACTCGCTGTCTTTGGGACTTCTATGTCACATAAATTATATATCAATAAAATAAATTATCAAATACTTAATAAAATTGACAAATAATAAAAAATTATTATAAACACAATAAAACTCGCTTAAGGCATTATCTCTGTTAGTGCTTAGATAATTCCTATACTAGTCAATATAAAATACATCTATTAAGAAGCTTAACATTTCTCTATCTAACAGGATAAGTTGCTCTTTTATTCATTAGATTAGGATAAATTTTAAAAATTATGAGACTATGTTAACAAAATAGAAAACTTTCTTACTCAAAGGTATTCCAACAATCTCAAGCAAACAAAAATAGATACTTTTATTAATATAAATATTTTAACTACCAAGTGTTTTAAGTGAAATTTACGTTAGTTCATTGTAAATAATACATAGTCAACTATAATAACAATACATTTATTTTTAACATATTTTCTACAGCTCAATTTTGTATACACATACCCCAATGCTGGTCAGATTTACAGATTTTCTTTTATGATGCCCATTAGGAAAATAAAAAATTTGAGGTACGGATTGCACACAAATATACAGTAATATACATTGAACAATGTTGACGAATAAAAAAAGATTAAAATGCAACACTGGCCTAATAAAAAAATAGTTTAAAATGAATGTAAAAATGACGCCTCATGGCAACACCCTACAGTGAACGTTTTAATTAGTGATGATATTATAATATTTAATTTAATGAAATTTCAAAATAAACATAATACATTAATATGATTATATACTTAGTTTATAAACTTTCATTAAGTAACATGAATTACTGTAACTACAACAATTTTTATGTTATCTTTAAAAGCATCTGTTTCATTTTTCATTGGAACGTCAGCAATTCAGCATGATAGGCATCTTATTCTATTAGCTAAAATAAAATATTTATAATTTTACAATTAAACAAAATAAATAGGGTGTAGGTATTACTTACATTTTAATTTTCATGTAACTGCATCAGTCAGTTATTTCATTGAATAACAGATAAATATAGCTATTATAAAATAAGATTTATAAACAGCTTTTACAAAAATGTATACATGAAAAATAGTTGTTTTTTACCATCTTTAAGAGCATACATTTTTCATATCGAATTTATACACACATATTTGAATTCCTGAAAATTAAAAATGTATTATTAGATTAAATCAATTTAAATATTATAGAATTGCATATTCAAATATGGGACATTGGTCAATCTTATGCGAATTGCAAGTCTGTATTAATAATTAATTCAACACATAAGGACTTATTTCTGTCTATAAAAAATTCCAAATTTATTTTCAACAATTTTTATTTAACATGGATGGACTGCTTAAAAAAAAAACTATAATCAATACCTAATATACATTATAAACTATTATAGAATTAACAAATAGTAAAATACTTACATTGCCTTTAATTAATTTCATAATATATTAGGACTATAAACAAGGATAATAGATATAAAATTCAAACAGATCTAAATTTAAAAAATATTTTATGAAAAAAAAAAAAAAAAAAAAAATTAAAACTTACACAGCAATGGTTGAGTTATCTATTACATTCAATTCAGCATTCTAGACAAGATGTTGTATTTATACGTACATGCAGTTCTTTTCTTGAAATAGTTGAAATTAGATTAGACTCCTAACTGTGTTTTAGCGATGTACTATCCTGTGCATTTCATAAATTCAAAAGAAAGCCAGAAAATCTTAACCAATAACACTTCATATACTGGTGATCTTTAAAGGATAAAAAATAAGCATGTAGTTATAATAAAAAAATAAAATAAATAAAGTCATAACTATGGTTGATCCTTTGCTATGAGGTATTGAATAATAATAATAATAAAGAGTTTTTATAACCAGTAAAAATAACCATAAATATTTGTATGCCCACAAATGAACAGAAACCCAAACGATCAGCTTAAATATCTCAGTGGTCTTACTTGAAAAACTGAATGCACGATCTCCCATTGCACGGATCGCTATTTGAATGTCCAAAACATTTCCCGGTTCCAATAATATGGTGCAGGGCGCAAGCCAAGGTACTTAGGTACAGCTGAAGACATTTTATTCCTTGAAAAAAAAAAATAACAATAAAAAGTATTATAATAAGTTATTTACAATGCATAAGCTCACAATGATTGATGAAATTACATGTAAGAAACAATAAATAATCGGAGCATTTAACAGTTAAGAACATGAAAACTAAAAGGCAATAAGCAATAACGGGTTTGCCTTTTGATTTGAAATTTGAATTATGAATGAATGATAACATTATCTTATTTTATGGGTGGCATGCGCTTCTCACTCTTCGTTATCTAACTTGAACGCAGTGCAGCCAGAAGAGAGAGAGAGAAAAAAAAATAGAAAACAATTTTCAAATACATTAGAAGAGTGTTATATTCTATCTTTGTTTAATTTACGGCGCTAACATAGAATTCATTGTACAGCTCATGGTATAGACCACGGTTGCAGAACTGTGCTATCATTGATTATAATCAATGTTTCTATTGGTTTTATGTAGATGAAATAGTTGTACAATAAATTGCCTGTGTTAACTTGTGATTGAAAAAGTTGCGTTAAAATAATAAAAGTAGTTTCATAATTATTACAAATTACAAATTATTGTATAGCATTTAAGTGATATGAGATTTGTTTTTTAGAATTTTTGAAGGATGTCTTATCAGACTTCGTCACGTAACCATAAGTTATAACCACATTTGTGGTATAGACAGAGTAAGAAAGATTCATATTTAATATCACTATTCTTCTCTACATTGTGTTCAGCTTATATGATCTAAGGTGTTCAGTATCAACGTTATCGTAGAATATAATATTGACAGTGATTTCGTTTTTTCTTTTCAGACTACTGTCGTGCCGTGCGACGATTTTTGCTCCATGATTACGGCGTCGGCTATATTCCGTCCTCACCATCATTCTCTCTCTGTTAACGTTTCGGTCTGTCCACACATGAAAACGTGCTTCAAGACCCATTTTTTGTTGACTGGTAAGTGAAATTTATATAATTCTTCGTTCTTAGCCCTTAACCGCTGGATAATAAACACTGTTCGTTAAAATCCCCTTGAATAATATTAAGAATGTTTTTGGAAACGCGAACTTCGCGAATCAGAAAGTAGCTTATCAGAACCGTGTCCGCACGAATCCGTCTTTAGGTTATGGTGCTCGTGGTTTTCAAATTGTATGTGTCAAAATTAATAGTAAACATATCGGACCCAACTGTACTTATACTTGATACTAAACGTCTTGTTTTGTCATCAACAAATTTTCGTTAAACTTGATCTTTTTGCTCTTAGTCGCCAATTATCGCGTACCTACAGTGGTATGATTTATATACTAAATACGTCTAATGCCTACCTACGTCCTCATTTTTTTTTTTTAACCAAATGAGTCAAATATTAATTTGTTTAATTCTTTTCAGATAATACTTAATTTTGTGTCAATCTTTCAAATAAGACAATATGCCTGTAAGTATTCTACTAAATACCACTTGTTATTGAATTCAATTAATATGATGTGTTCTCTATCGTCTTATAGTTAGCTAAAGATTTGCTTCATCCTACTGCTATTGAAGAACGCAGGAAACACAAGTTAAAGCGTCTTGTCCAACACCCAAATTCTTTCTTTATGGATGTCAAATGCCCCGGATGTTATAAAATCACAACTGTATTCAGTCACGCTCAGAGCGTAGTTATATGTACCGGATGTTCCACAATTTTATGCCAACCCACTGGAGGAAGAGCTAGATTAACTGAAGGTACATTAAAAAAATTATTAATATCTCTATAATGTTTTTTTAATATTTTTATTTGATAAGTGAAGTTAGATTTATGCTAAGTTAAATATTAGGTACCTATAATAATTTATGTTATGTATGATTTATGTATTCTATGGATTTGACGAAATATTTCCTACAAATATTCATTATATGACCGTATCCATACAATAGATTGCCTATAACAACAATATTAAATTAATATCTGGTAGTTCATGATAGAATCTAAAGTATATGCTATATTTTATTTTATAATTATATAAATATTCTATCCAGTGAAATAACGTACTTGGAATTCATTTCCCCTTTCAAATAATCCAGCAGTCTTTGTCTATTGATTAATTAGTGTGGGAATACTACGACAGAATGTGCAAGGATGCAAATAAACAGATTTTTGTTGGACTGTGTTGAGTTCTCTTACTAAACAAGTTATAAGTTGAGGGCCATGTTTTTCTAACAATGTTTGTCTTAGGACCTTTGTTATAAATTAAATTAAATGTATATTCAGGTGATATTTTAAAATTAATACTTACCACACGTTAAGAGCATGATTGGGTGACTGCCTTAGTTACTTCATATAAGTTTTCCAAACTCCTGTTGACTATCCACTATAGCAAGTAGTTTATGAAGGAGGTAGTTAAACGTGAATATGTTATGATCCTTTTTTTTGTAAAATTTAATATTTATCTTTAGACATCTTCAGTGAATAACAATATTATATTTGGTTTAAAAATTGTCAATTATTGTATGATGGGTACTTCATCAATTGAGTTAAATAATTTATAATTTCATTTTAATTATTTATTTTGGAATAATATGTATTCTACCATATATTAGTAACATGTTATTTTTAAATTAATTAAATACCTTCTTACACGTTTAATTTATTTTTAGAATTAAACAAGTTTCTAATAGTTGACTTAAATATTTATACAATATTATTTTTAATTAAACTTGAAGATTATTAATTGTTAATACATTGATTCATATTTAATTTTTATTAATTCTTTAAGGAGATAATTTTTCTTGTGTAATATGTTTACAATGTATGTTATATAATTATTTTATTTCAAATGAAAACATCACTTTTGCAGACATTGAGACTTATGTCCTTAGTAATGGTCATTTAAGTTTATTGTCAAAATTAATTTCCATTGTTTGGGATATGTTTTAAAAATAAAATAATGTAAACTTTAAGGACAATATGAATGTATTATTTATGACCTGGTGTGGCGCGGTAGTTGGCCTCGGTCACTAATGTGTTCTTATGTCAAGCATCGGCTGGCAACACTCTTTCGGATGGATGACCACTTGATTTTTTTTTAGTGACAAATTCATGGTGCATACACAACATGTGTTCCAACCTTACATGCTAACCTGTAAAAACTTACTGTACTTTTCTACAGCTAATGGCTTTAGTTCCCAAGCTTAAAAAGATCAATAAAAAAAAAAGAGTTTAAATTTTATTATTTTGAAATTTTTGTTAAATTAGTATTTTGCTATTTTTATATAATATTAATTATTTTTATGTTTCAGGTTGTTCTTTCAGGAAGAAAGCTTACTAAGATCCTGGCTCCTGTATTTTAATGTACAATATGAATATGCGTTGAATAATAAAAACATTAAAAAAAAAATTATTCATTATTTAATTATTTTTTTTTATTTCTTTATCTACACCTAAATAATTTCAATGTTATTTGATTTATCAATATATTAAACAAATAATGTGAATCTTAAAATTTGTTTTAAAAATTAAGATTCATGTGCATTAAAATTGTCTTAAATATATCTTTGATGAATTAATTTTAACATTGTAAATATTTTATTAATCCAAAATAATTAAATAAGAAATTATTCAATTTTTAAAAAATTTTTACTGTCGTTTATCTAATACGTAACCAACATATCTCATTGACAATTCATATAATTTTAAATTTTGAGCAGAGAAATGAACTTTTTTACAATTATGTTTTTTTATGGAAATGTTTCATAACTTTTTAAACAATATTTCAATGTTAATGAATTACAAAATTTAAAATTAAATTTTGATTTTATTTCCATTTTAAAATGGTTATAACTTAAATTTAATTACAATATCTATAAAAGTCTCTGAGATGCTCTATGTAATAGAGTATATCTTACATTTAAATTTTAAATATGTCAATTTCTACACTAATTTTAGAAATTTCTGAATAAAAAAATTATTTTAAACTTAAAACTCTACTAAATAATAGTAATTGTTTATACATACTTATAAGTCTATTTTAGTATTGTATCATTTATACTTGATTAAAAAAAGAAAGTAGGTGATCAATAATCTGTACGTTGGATAACGATCAACACTTAAACAGATCAAGTGTATTTGGTTATTTGTTAAATCGCTGTGAATTACATTATAAATTTCAAATCAGTGATAAATCATAGCATATGAAAATAATTCTAAGCAAAGACGATCTATCAGATAAAAAATATTGTATTTTTAGGTTTTTTGGTTTTAAAATAAATTGTTAATGTGGAATCTTGTATAAAATTTTCGAGTTTTTTGACTAAATGAAAATTTTTATTGTCCTTAATGGAAAAATATCAAACATTTCAAATCTGTACAAGTATCTCGAGATATCTTGAAAATTAAAATTTGATAATATTATATAGAAATATTAATTATATGTAGTAGGTACGATTTATTTGTTTTTAAGTTGACAAATTGAATTAGAAAGTCAATTTTTCCTAAATTTGGTTTCCTATTTTAACTTAATATTTTATCCCCAATTACTAAAATAAGTACTTGGAATTTTCACTTTAAGTCCCTCAAAAATACCAATATAATTCACTTTTATATCAAATATTATGTTGTTAAATACCTATCTTTACCAAAAGTGTATTAATCAGTCTACTGTCTCCACTGCTTCTACTAAAAATCTAAAGTTAACTTTTCAAGACTTCGTTTAATGAAAAAATAAATAATTTTTCAATTTTATTGATGCCATCAATCATTAGTATCATGCCTTTTCAACTTGAATGGTTCTGTAGGCCATGGTTACTGCCTACTGGATATGGATTTAGGACAATTATTAAATTGCGGTTTTATAATGTAAAAAAGTAAAAACCAACGTATATAGATACCAATATCTTATCATATAAGTCGGTAGAGTAAACTACAGTGCCACTATGTACAAGTACTTTGTATATAATTTTTTAAATGCTTTTTACTAAAAGTTAACAACTTTTTTTTTTAAATAATCAATAAATAAACAATGATACAACTATATAAATATACGAGTAGATTAGAGAATGATATATTACAATTTAAGACTGTAATCTGTAGCTTAGTCTCACTTAGACTATTATCGTTGAAAAAAAAAAGGAAAACATGTTTGAGATTACTTAGTAATCAGTATATAGATCATCAAAATAATAAGGATGTAGGAGGATGTTCTATTATTATAAATTGATGGTTTAAATACAGACTTTAAAAAATATATTAGTTACTACCATATTATAATTATACTGATATATTTACATCAAATTTACACATTGTACACGTATCACACTAACACATACTGTGCTACATGATTCAATGCTTCCAGAGAAAATGTTGTACCTACCTATTTAAAATGTTCGATAATAAATAGATACGTTAAGATAAGAGAGAAAACTGGATACTTGCCTAGAACCTCACGATTCAAATGCCTTAAAGTTTTAAATTTATCTGATAATTTTCTGAAACGATAAAATTGCAATATTAAAGTTATAACTTTTAAGTACCTAATACATGTGTATCGCAGAGCATATGTATAAATTTAAATTTTGAGTGGCGTATTAATACATTCATCAATTTTACAATGATGTTTATTGTTTTCAATTTTTGTGTCTATTATTAACTTTTTGGGGAAGTAAAAATCTTTCGATTTCCAACTTTTATTTAAAAAAAATGTCTTTCGGCAAGTTAAATTAATTTTTTATTAGTGTTTTAAGTTCAAATTTGTATAGCATTGTCAGCATTGTATATTTAGCCGTAAAATAAATATTTTTTCCTTTAACAATTTTGTTATAATTCAAAAACTAATGACCATAAATGCTTGAAATTGTCATCGAACGTTTATATTATAAATTTCCATACAATATGGTACAGTCTTAAAAATACTTTGGCTTTTTTTGATCTATTAATAGGTTATAGGTATAAGAAATGTTATTGGTATTATTTCTGTAGATGTAGATAAAAATTAATTTTGAATTAAATTCTTGAAAAATTGATTAAAGATCCTACATAAGTTCTTCTTACCTATATCTCTATAAAAATGTTAAAAATATACAGGCAAAATTTTTTGTATATGGTGGCATGGTGCATTTTAAGTTCAGATTTTTACAAAATTCGTCAAAATCACAAACATTTACAAACTTCAAGTATTAATTAGTTTTTAATTAACTTATTTAATACATTTATTTTAGTTATCTAGGTACCTACTTTATAATATTCACTAAAAAAATATTTATTTTGATTTTTATTATAAAATAGATACCTAGGTATCATTTGTTTTTGTTATTACTTATTAGTAGGTAGTTAAGTACCTACGTACGTACCTAATTTACAAATATATTTTGCAGTTCAGATATTCATCGTAAATTTTTCTGTCAAATTACACTTGGTTTGACTTATAATATATTTAATATCTAAAACAAAGGACAAAAAAAAAAAAAATCCAGTAATTATTATAGTTGCAATTTAAATGTTTGATATCACTAAAGAAGGGTGAGGGGAACCACTATTTTAGTAAATTCAAAATTTATAAGTTTTATGATCTCATTCTCAATGTCAAATCATGCCCAAGGCTTCGCAAAACCTATAGAAACATAAATTAAATGAAGTCGTATATAATCCACCTCAACCAGATTTGCATATAATATGTAATAATATATTGTATAGTATCAATATACCGATTTAATTAAGCCAAAATCTATTTATAATATAACTATGCTAAAATGCGGTACACTGAATACATTATTTACTCATGCTTCACTAAGCTTATTTATACATAGGTATAGGTACTACAATTTTTCTATATGTAATGGATTATCGATTTATCAAAATAAAAATATAAAACGTATCACTATAATCTTGTCATTTTTCTTACCTGTTCGTCCATAGTATATGCTTTTTTCACATCATCTCCTTATACAGGTTTGAAGTATAAGGAAAATCCTATTTTTTGCGACGTCAATTCCTTGTTTAAATACGGAACTCTGGCTTCATATTATTATTACGTGTATAAAGGCTGGTGATTATTTTTTTCTTGTTAAAGAATTTGTCGTACTGGAGTAAAAACGTAGGTATGTTTCGTCTGGAAACCAACCTTGGTAATGATGGTATTTGAGCCCTTGCACTGAGTATTGCTACTCATAACAATTATGACCACCTGATCTCTTAGTAACGAATCTATGGTGCACACACCTATACAGCACGTGTTTCAATCTTACAGATCTAAGCTAACTACAGTTATAGCTAATGAGCAGTGATTGTATAACAAACGGTTATTTACGGTAATTATTTATAATTGATAAATGATAATCATGGTGTACATGAATAGATTTTTAAACAGGATCAGATTTCTTAAATTATTTCCATCAATACCAATTTACATAATTTTCTTATTTGACACTCTTCTTCTCTCTTAATAATGATATTAAAATAAATTATTATTATAATAATATTATATATGAAGTTCATTTTAAAATAATAATTTGAATTATCATGTAAAGTCGAATTGTAAGTAGTTTTTAAAATAACATAACAAAATAGTCTATATGCGGTTTCTCTGCCACTCTTATAAGTTACAGCAAGCTAAATGCCTACATATCATAAAAATTAAAACTATATGTGTACTTACAATATTACAGTTACAATATATGCTTACCTGTATTATTTATACATCTTAGGTTTACATTTTTAAACTCTGCACCGCAATGGTATTCCTTCTACGTCGGCTTGTGGAACAAACTTGAGAACATATCTGGAAAAAGTTAAACAAAGAAAATGTAAGACTCGTTACCGGTTCACATGGGTCATACGAACTCTCTAACAATAAAAACTAACAGAAATCACTGTACCTGAGCCCAAACGAAAAATTATTCGTGTCTTTGTACTTTCGGAAAATTATCTATAATGTGAAATAGGATAATAACTCCGTATTCATTGGTGTCAATAACTCGTACCTCGGGAATGTCAATCGGAACCTGTACAGTTATATTCGTGTGATTCAATAAAACAATATCAAGAAAAATAAAAAAATACAATCTTTGATCATTGTTCAAAAATAAATATCCTGTCATTTACTGTAGCCTACAGTTTTTCAAAACATTTTATGACAAACAATTGAAGCTGTAAAGTTTAAGATACGACTAAACACGAAATCAATCATCGGAAATCACAATCAATTTTGCAATGTTCTATACCTATGTAGACATGTAGTTAAGTTCAAGTAGAGATTCTGTGGGTGGTTTAGTCAGCAAAACAACTCAAAACACTCTAAAATATTAATTATTAAATCTAACTATATTTGTAAATTGCATTAAATTAATATTTTTAATTAAATAAGTATAAATACGTAATCATATTATTTTTTGTCACACCTATTGTTAT